AATAAAATAAAATAAAATAAAATAAAATAAAATAAAATTAAATTAAATTAAATTAAATTAAATTAAATTACTGATATACATCTTTGAACACAGTTATGCTGTTTACTTGCATGGTAAAATAAAACAATAAAAAATTATTTCTGTTTACTTGCAAAATAAAATTTATGTTCATTCTTAATTCTAAATTCTTAATTTACGTCTTTTTGTTAAAAATAAATTTGTTGGTACTTAGTTTACTTGCATGTTAAAATATATAAAATAAGATAAAAAAATCACTGATATACATCTTTGTACACAGTAAAGCTGTTTACTTGCATGTTAAAATAAAATAAGAAAAACTATTTCTATACACTTTTTACACAGTTAAACTGTTTACTTACAAAATAAAATGTATGTTAATTCTAAATTATGAATCTATGTAATTTAATCTATGTAATCTATTTAAATTTTTAAATCATTCATTGTTACTTAGTTTACTTGCATATTAAAATAAATAAAACATTTCTTTGTACAGAGTTAAGCTGTGAACACAAAATAAATGTAATTTTTGTCATGCCAGTAAAGTTCTTTACACTGAAGTGAATTTGAGATTGAAGAAACTGGATTTTCTGGTGTAGTACCTGCTAATGCAGGATGGACCAGTCCTGAACCAGTGAGATTCTTCACAGGAAGTGCAGGAACCCTAAATGACAGGAAACAGATATCAGACAGTCAATGATCCACGTGAACTGAAACATTTACAGCTGATATTCTGCAAGAGACCATCCAAATCTCTGATGATGAGAAATGAACATCCCAAAGATCACAACCTTCCTTATCAAACAACCTTATTAATCTCACTTCTGGAGAATCGCATTGTTCACTTAAAACCCTGTTTATTTCAGACCTGAGAGGATCAGCCACTGGATCTGATCAGTGTGAACAAAGTAATGAAACCAGATGATGATGATAATAGATGCAGCATTATAAAACATGATTAGAAAGTGAAACCAGGTGTTTGCTTGTTTTTTGCCTAAAGAAAATGTGATTCTACAATTCAGGGCTATTTATTATAGTATTATAATTTACCAAAAACTCTCATTACTTGAATTAAATCTTAACTGAAATAGTTTAACTTGTATAAAATAACAAAAAATGTAAATATACTGAAATAAAAATGAATAAAAACTATATAGACATATTATTAAAAAAGTAATAAACATGACAAAATGACTAAAATATTAACTAAAATTAAAATGAACAAAATACAATAAAATAAAAAATATATATAATAAAAACTATAATGGTATGTTACTAAAATAGCACTGCTAAGATGATACTGGTGGTTGCCAAGGTGTTGCTATGTGGTTGCTAGGTGCATTAGTGTGCTAATTATTCATGATAAAATAAAATACATTTAAAATAAAAATGTAATAAAACAAAAATTAATCATAATAAATAAATAAATAAAAAATTAGAATAAATAAATAGAAAGAATAATAAAAAAATTATATCATACAAATAAAAAAATATACAAATATCCACTAATAATAAAACAAATAATTAAATAATAATAAAATAAAATAATCATTCATAATTAATAAATAAATAAGCAAATCAATCAATCAAGGACACAGAATGCTAAAATAAAATAAAAAACATTCATAATAAATAATGAAACAAATAATAAATAAATAAATAATTATTTTAAATTAAAAATAATGTACAAAATAATTTCTATACACCTTTTCACAGTTAATCTGTTTGCTTGCATGTTAAACTTAAACAAAATAAAAGCATTTCCATTCACTTTCACACAAAGTTAAGTTGTTTTTGCATGGAGTAAAATAGTGCATCTCTCCTCGATACGGATCAGGAGACGGTCGCGCTCGGCTCGTTTCATGTTGTATCTCTCATATTTCTCTTTCATACATGCAGCAAGTCAAAGCCCTGCTGCTGATCGAGCCGCGTAAGCGACATGAGAGCGAGATCCTACCGTCTGTCCTCGTCTGAGTCTCCATCCGTCTCCATCATCTCTCCTGCTCTCGTTAAACACCAGACACACACAACACAAACTTCCTCTTCTGATCACACACACACACACACACACACACACACACATACCAGCTGCGCCAGGAAGTCAAACAGGAAGTCAGAGTCAGTTTTAGAGATGATCTGAATTCAGTTCAATGACTTCAGACTCATGTTTACATGAATTTACTGAATGAAACAAGCCAAAAGCAAGATAACACTGAATCTGCCTCACATACCATTATGAAAAGTACTGTACCATTGTACAATAAGTCATCACATGGTAATAATATATATATATATTTGTGCTGTCAATCGATTCAAAAAAATTAACCGCACATTTTTCTGCAATTAATCCCACCTAACATTAAAGTTTTTCAATATACATATATATTGCAATAATTTCACATTCAATCTTCAAATTAATGTACAAACAACATAAAGACGGTATATTTTTTAATATTTGTTTAATGGCAGCTTTTTTTATGACTGAAGGCCAGTATCAATGATACCAATACTGATTTCTCTATAAAATTGCCCCCCCCCCCAATATTTAACCATTGACTATAGCCATTCAACATTACAGTGTAATTGAGAGCTATCAATTTGAACATTTATTAGACTTTAAAAATAACTTCTAATTTAAGTGAACTTAAAACAATCTTCACATAAACCCATTATAATAAATGTCATATTTACCCGGGCCCTTCAGCAGAAATATACAGAAATTTAAATTATCAAACACTAAATTCTAAATTAAATATATATGAATCCTTAAAGCTATAAAAGTTCTTTTTTCCTCTCTTTTTTTCTTTGTCCTTTGATTAATAGACATCACAGCAGCTGGTTATTAGGTTGTTTTGGCTGCTATTACTTTAAGAGCTGCCGCTGCTGAACGTGATGCGGATCTGACACGCATCATATTTTCTCTCAACTCTTTTTAGCTTTTCTGACCCATTTCAGGTCTTAAAGTCTCCATTAATGAGCTGACGAGTTGAATCGGGTGTGTTAGATGAGGGAGACAGTGCTGGGCTGCTCCAGGACAGTTTTGAAAACCATTTCATATATACAGTATATATATATATATATATATATGTATATATATCATACATACGGTTGTGCTCATAAGTTTACATAGCCCTTGAAGAATATGCAAAATGTTAATAATTTTCACAAAATAATAGGGATCATGAAAATTGCATGTTATTTTTTATTTAGTACTGTCTTGAATAAGCTATTTCACA